CAGTGGCTTTGTGAGCTGCTGCTGCCTGGATCCTCCTCCCCTGCCTCCCTCCCCCATGCTCCAGCTGTCCCTGGGTTTTGCTCGATAGGGATAGAGCCTCCTGCCCCACTGCTGCTCTGGGACTCGAAGGGGTTGTACACATCCAGGCCCTTGGTTACTGTCTACACCAGGCGTCCTGTAAGCTTCGGGCTGAAAGCCAGATCTCCCTCTGTATGAACTGGCCTAGTACTGCACCCTTCACATGGGCAGTGGGGCTGGCTTCCCCTCTGGCTCTGCCTGTGTCATGCACCTGCCCCATTTGCTCAGGTCCAGGCTCTTAGGTCACATTCACTGTTACCTCCATTCTGCTTCTTGTAGGTGACTTTGGAAACCACCATTGGGAACAGCAATGCTGCCTTATGGAAATACATCCATCCAGAAGAAAGTGTCCTAGAATGGTTAAGAAATATAGTGGCAAACCGGCTAGCCAGGAGTGGGGCCGAGTGGGCTGCCATTTTCCAGCAGTTCAACAGTGGCACGTAAGTTGAGTTGCAGTCATTCTGTCATGTCCTCTCCCTCCCTGGCAGCCATGGATTGGAATGAGGTGAAACTTCCAGGTTATTGCCTAGAAGTTTAATCACGCAGGAAGATCTAACCTCTCCTGATGTTGGATTATTGCACAAGGTGCTTCGTGGTGATGGCATGATATTGTGGGAATCTTGACATGCCTTGGCTATGTGGTGTCGCATGGTGTGAGTATGCTAAGTTCTGCTGCATTGCATGATAATATGGTGCTGAGACCAAGAAGCACATTTTAGAAGCTTTATGGCTGGTATGTATGTGCTCCACTGCTGGGTGGAATTATTACTGATCGTCACTGTCATTGTTTCTATTACTCTAATGCCTACACGCCAACCTAGATCATGTGCTGCATGTATGCAACAGACAGCCCTTGCTGTGAAGAACGTACAAGTAAAGAGCCAGGATAGATCAAGGGTAGAGGAGAGGCACAGAGCACAGACTGTTCAGTTGTGTGTCATAGGACTTGTACTGCTAAGGGAGTCTCTCCTTTTATGTAGATTGAAGGGGTTACTGGTTTTGAGTTCTGTCTTTGTTGGTTGCTGCTTTGAAACTCTGCCTCTGTGAGGTAGTCTAGAATGGGGATATAAAATCGTGTTTTATTGGTTAACAAGTTAAATGTAGTGTTAAATGCTCTGTTTAACTTAGTAAAGATCTTCAGTGGGGCTGGAGAAAAGCCCTTGCTTATCGCAAGTGAGGTTGCTCCAGACAGGGAATCTTGGAGGGGGAGCACTGCATGGGGGGCCAGTGAACTGTTCCCAGGTACTGGAACTGTTAGCATCACCCTTAACGGGTAAATGGTTTACCAGGTCACCTGGCTAGTCTTTGTCCTTATTCTGGACTAGGGATGTGAATCAGGATATCCTAGGGCATCATGGATTTGTAACAAAAATGGAGTCTGTTGCATTTGTCACTAGGCAGCTTGCTTGGCATTGCCTACAGAACAGCTCCTTTTGATTTCTCCGCAGCTCTTCTCTGAAACCAGCCCCAAATGACGTACTGACCTGGCATGGCAAGGGTGGGGGGAGAAGTGGGGACAGACAAAATGCCACTGACTGTGTTCAGTTTGTTCCTCATTATGGTGTCCACTGCAGTCACGTGAGAGTTGCTTTCACTGCAGCCAAATGGGGATCCTTTAGACAGAAGCATCCAAATGCCCATCCTGGGTCAGACCCATGGTCCATACAACTCAGTATCTTAGGATTATTAGGGGATTGCCTGGGGCCAGCAGCAGGGGGTCAGGCCTGGAGCCAAGGGAAGCCAAGCAACTCAACAGCCTGCTCTGTTCTGCCACACTTTTCTCAGCTAGGACGCTCTACTTCGCCGCAGCAGTGGGAAGGGGCGCACCAGAAGGCGGGGGCCATGGGACAGCCCTACCGGTATCCGTGCCAGACTGTGCAGAGGGCGTGATCCATCCCCTGTCATTCAGTGCCAGCTACTGGCAGACTGAGTTTAGGGAACCTGGAGCAATGGGATGTGCCCTTGTCTAACAGCCTGTGTGTGTGGTTTAAACCCAGTTATACTTTGAGACTCCCCACACATCCTAGCAATGTGTTCTGCAGGTTGTCTGTATGCTTATTAACAGTAATCACCAAAGAGTGTACAGTAGTTATTTTGAATAGCCACATGGTGGCAGCATTAGTACACCAGCACTATTCATAGAATCCTAGGGCTGGAAGAGATCTCTGGAGATTACTGAGTCCAACCCCCTGTCTAAAGCAGGACCAATCCCAACTATTACTTGAGATTTACCAAAAAGTTGGCCTCCATCATGGGGTGCTCACGGTGCTGGAGCAGATCCCGTAAGTGTCTTAGAAGGGAATATTGGGCTGTGATATTACCAAGCTGCAAGCTTGTTCCTTCTCCCAACCCTCCTCTGAGAGTGGTAGGATGACTCCTGGCTTACACCATCATGTTGACTGACTCAGACTGCCCCTGTAACTCGGAGAGGAGGTCACCGTGGCCTCCATCATGGGGTGCTCACGGTGCTGGAGCAGATCCCGTAAGTGTCTTAGAAGGGAATATTGGGCTGTGATATTACCAAGCTGCAAGCTTGTTCCTTCTCCCAACCCTCCTCTGAGAGTGGTAGGATGACTCCTGGCTTACACCATCATGTTGACTGACTCAGACTGCCCCTGTAACTCGGAGAGGAGGTCACCGTCCTTTGTCTGATGCTGAGGCTTCAGCCCTGGGGTTTCTGATAATGGCAGTCTGCCTGCTTCCCCCTAGGCTAGCCAGCTGCTCCTGCTGGGTTTTTGTTCTAGGTCACCGTTCTAGGCACTGATCAACTGCAGAAGCCCTGCTAAGTCAGAGGGTCTTGGGGGAGCCTGTTGAGTCTGGGGCAGCTGCCCATCCAAGCTGGGGCTGTATGGAGTGGGTGGGCCAATACTCTGCCAACCTGACTCTTGGTTATCCAAGGTAGAGGCTGCACTCCTGCATTCCCAGCATGCACTCTGCTTCCTGGCTTGTGTTCTGATCTATCATGACATGACTTGTTCTCTCTCTCTCTCTCTCTCTCTCTCAGGGGGCTGGTGGTCGTGGCTGACAAAACAGAAGAGTTGTACCAGAAGGGATACTGGGCCAGTTACAATGTGCCGTAAGAAGCGCTGCTTCTCTCTCCATCCCAATCCCCAGTTTAGGGCACCTTGCTCCAGGAAGGATGTCAGCTGGGTGTAAGGAGCAGGCATCTAACCTCTCTTGGGCTTATGAGCAGTATTCTCTGCTCCCAGCCAGCTGAGGCTGGGAATGCTGTACTCTCAGGGAGCTGTGCAACCTGGGGCCTAAAAGCTTTTTTTTTTTTCAATCTGGTGTTGGGGTGGGTATAAATGTTGCATAATGAATAAAGATTTTAAAATGCAGTGTATATGGGCATGCATTCACCCAGGTGCTTTTAAATCCTTAAAATTGCTTCTTTCTCTTCTATGGAAATTTGTAGGAAAGTGAAAGATGGCAGTGCAAATGACTTCAGAATTTTCTTTTGCTATACTAATATTTAAATATACTACTACTATTATTAGTCTGTAAATATCATTTTACCTGTAGTTGTGTTGGAGGGCAGCCTTGTACATTTCTTCCTTTTTTAAAGTCCAATATTGCTGCTAGGGAAGTGAGCTTGTACTCATGTACACAGTTACACACAGCTACCCTGCCCCGCTGCTGCTTCTATATCAGAGGCGGGAGGGGAGAGATAGTCTGTGAGGGGAGCTGGTTTTTAAGATGGCTCCTCTTGCTGACTAACTCCTTCCTGGCTCCTTTTAGTTCTGCCTGTGGAATGGCAGGGGGCTCCCCAGGAGCGGGCTGGCGTGCGCTGGCTGCTGGTCCCACCCCCAGGGACTGGAGAATAGTTGAGTAACCGATAAGAATCATGCCGTTAGTTGACTGTTCTATGACCCGCTGTCTAACATCCCTAGTCTGGGGGTTGGTATGCAGTGGGGTTGGCAGCTGGGCCACAACCGGGTGGAAATGCCCCTTTAGAACAAGCCTTGCTCTGGCAGGCTCTTCTAGTGACGCCTTGTGAAGAGGGCCTCAAAGAGCTTCAGAGCCTGTGACTTCTCCTCATGACCCTCTTGAGGTGGGGGAGAGCTGTTATCCCCCTTCTGTTGATGGGGAAACTGGGGTGCACAGGCAAGAGCTTGGCCCTAGATGACACTAAGTCAGGGATAGAGCAGGGAATTGAATCTCCAAGCCATAGGCTAGTGCTCTAACCAATTGGCCATCCCTTACCTTCCCCCATCCCACTGGAATCTGGCCTGGCAGGGGTGAGATTCTCTGTGGCAGCGTATTAAAAACAGGAGGTGTCCCTGTTTGACTTGTGTGGTACTCTGTCCCCTGCTCCCTAGATACTTTGAGGAGATCTTCAATGTCAGTGGCCAGCTGGAGCTGGTGAAGAAATACGGAGACTGGTTCACTTATGACAAGAACCCCCGGGCCCTGATCTTCAGGCGCAATCAGACACTCGTCCGGGACATGGACTCCATGATCCAGCTCATGAGGTGAGGGATTCTCTGGAGGGAGTGGAGCTCAGCAGTGTTTTATCCTAGGAGGGCATATGGCTTGTGGAACAGGCAGACCTCGAGATACAAGAGCTCCGTGCCCTTGTCATGGGGAGAAGGGCACAGACAGGGTGTCGAGATGAGTGTGGAGGCGGAGTTTAGGGGCTCTTTGGCGGGATGCCACTTAGGCTGAGGCAGCCTCCTAGGAGCTGATGTACCGTCCTTGCCTCTTGTCACAGCAGTGCTCGTCATGATACCAGGAGCACAGGAGCTGTTCTCCAAGAGGCCAGCCTCTCCTGGGTGTCGGGCTGAGGGACAGCTGGGGCAGATGCAGTTGCACTGGGAGATGGGCCCAGAGAGCCAAATCAAGAGCCCTCTAATTGTTCAGGTGTTTGGGGTTTCTTGAGGTTTGTCTCTTAACTGCCATGCCAATCATTCAGCACTTTGTCAGCCCCGGCAGGGTGATCCGTTTCTCTGTGCGCCCATCCTGCTGAGTCTCACCTCAGTGTAGATCCCACCTTTGGAGCTCTGGCCTGTTGGGGCTCCAGGACTCTGATCTGATGTGCACAGAAGAAAGCCAGACTCCGCAAAGGCAGTATTGGCCTTCATGGCTCTGGCTCTGTGGCAGCTGCTTGATCGATGAGTGCAGTGGAAGAACCTGGACAGACCAGAATAGCTCCTCTCCTTCCCCAAGTCAAACCCAGCCAAGTTGGCATGAGCTCCATACCTGTACCTGCCAGGACCCACCTCTCCTCCCCTGGGCTGCCTCCATTGAACATATTTGTGCTGCCTCTCAGGTCCAGCAACTTCCTGAAGGACCCACTGTCCCGGTGCCAGGGCTGCGACCCGCCCCAGAACGCGGAGAACGCCATTGCCGCCAGGTCGGACCTGAACCCCGCCAACGGGACCTACCCGTTTGCTGCACTGCGCCAGCGATCACATGGGGGCACCGACATGAAGGTGAGGGGTCTGAGGTGGTGGTAGTAATAGAGAGGAAGTTAGGAATGGAGGGGAATCTGATGGGTTAGCAAAGGGGTGGGCAGTAACTTTTGATGGGAAGGGCCATTGTAGTGTGGAACAAGCACCCTTAGGGGTACTCAAGAGAAGTCTGAGGGGTACAACACAACTGAAACTTGGCTATAACTGAATTTTTGTTCTAAGTTCTACAGTATTTTAGGTTTTATTTTTTTTTGTACTTTTTACACCTAAAAATTTCATTGCCCGCCCGGCTACGATTAAGTTGTTTAAACAAATGTGCTGCAATGGTAGAAGAAAATTTTGTCTGAAAACTGTAGGTACTGAGGGTACTTATAATTTTATTTTTAAAAGGGGTACTTTATTAAAAAAAAAAAAAAGTTGAGAAACACTGGTTCAGAGAAGCACACATGGCCTGCTGAGGTGGGGCAGGCAGAGAGCTTGGCTGCAGCTGTGGGGCACTTTTTGGCCTGTTTCCCCAGCCTGTAGACTGTATTTTGCTTGCGCTGTGTTAGGCTTCTTCCCCAGCAGGAAGAGGTGCTACTGCAGCCTCAGCCCACAGAGCAGCTTTTCTGGCTCTGGATCCAGAAGTTCTAGGTTTGATCCCTGCTGCTGACAATGTTTTACTGAGGGGCAGGGACAGAGGTGACTGGTTGAAGGGCCATCTGTCACGTGTGACTTTGCGGAGTTTTCTCTCCCTAGATCACATCCTACGCGATGGCCAAGGGCTACAGCCTGATTGCTGCCAGTGGGCCTACCTGGGATGAAGTCCCCCCTCCCCAGTGGAGCACCTCTCCCTACAGCAACCTAGTGCACATGGGGCACCCTGACCTCTGGAAGTTTCCTCCCATCAAGATCTTGTGGGACTGAAATAGAGACTGGATCCCCTAGGGTGTGAGGCCAAGTTGGCTGGCAGACAGGTGCTGATGGTGTCTCCTTGTCTGCTTCAGGAGGGTGGGTGGGACTGCGTCCCCCCTCCCCAGTGGAGCACCTCTCCCTACAGCAACCTAGTGCACATGGGGCACCCTGACCTCTGGAAGTTTCCTCCCATCAAGATCTTGTGGGACTGAAATAGAGACTGGATCCCCTAGGGTGTGAGGCCAAGTTGGCTGGCAGACAGGTGCTGATGGTGTCTCCTTGTCTGCTTCAGGAGGGTGGGTGGGACTGCTTCATCCCAGCTGCCTTTTTCCTGAGATAAGGAAAGAATGCGTCTGTGTCTGTGTGCAGGGGTGGGAGGCAGAGGAGACAGCACAGTGACTTTGGGTACCATGGAGCTACTGCATCAAATTCAGCCCTGGTGAAAGTTCAGCAAAGCTGATGGCCATTGCACCTGCTTCTACCAAGCCTTGATTTGGCCCAGGGGATGTAGCTTATCACATTGAGCTTGCAAAACTGGCTTCTTGCTCTCTGCACAAACTGACACTCTCCAGAAGCCAGGGGATGCCCCCCTCCTTTCCTGACCCATTGGTGGTTCAGTCCCTGGCTCCTTGAGGGCTCCCCACTTGGGAACTCACCTCCAAAGACCAGAGCTGCCACACATCCCACTCGGAGGAGCTGCCCTGCCAGGATGGCGAAGCTGGGTCCCCTGTGGGCTGCCAACTCGTGTGCTGGCCCTGAGAAGTGGGTCAGTCCCCTATGTGAACTCTGGGAGTGGCGCATGGGAGGGGTCACTCTTGTGCTTGAGAGCCGCTCTCGCGGAGTGTAGTGCAGAAAGGCAGGTTTGCCTCATCCCCTAATCTTCCCAGCTGGGGCTTGGTGTGCTGTCCCCGCTGGCATCTGCCAGCCCCGGAAGATCCCAGGCAGAGCATCCTCCGAGGGGTGGGAAGACTGCCCCAGCCCTCTGCCGCTATTACTCTGCCACACCTCTCTGTACGCCAGTGCTCACGGATGATCGTGGCTATTTGCCAGTGCTGCCTTTGAATCATGCACTGCAATGTGATGCCTCTATGGCTCAGGTGATGGCCTCAGCCGTTGCTTCCCGTCCAAAGCAAAAGCAGTCTTAGTCTGAAATCTTTCTGCCCTTGTTCCTGTTGTGCCCACTGCCTCCCTCAGCCTGGCCCTACATGGCCCCACAGCTGTGTGGCTTGTGCAAGGTGAACATAAGAATGGCCATGCTGGGTCAGACTGAAGGTCCATCCAGCCCAGCACCCTGTCTGTCCACAGTAGGCAATGCCAGGTGCCCCAGAGGGAATGGACACAATAGGTTATGATCAAGCGATCTCCCTCCTGCCATCCATCTCCACCCTCTGACAAACAGAGACTAGGGACACCATTCCTTACCCATCCTGGCTAATCGCCATTCATGGACTTAACCTCCATGAATTTATCTAGTTCTCTTTTAAACCCTGTTATAGTCCTACCCTTCACAACCTCCTCAGGCAAGGAGTTCCACAGATTGACCTGGGCAGAACCTACTCCTCTTTAACAGGACCCAGACTCCCTTGGAGCCTGGATCAGGTACTCTCTCAGCAGGAGGCATTATCCCCCATGGCTTAGCTGCCTGCTGGGCCCGATGGGGGCTGCAGGATGGGGCTTGTTCTGTGCTCTGCTGCAAACCAAGGCATTCTGGGCTTGGGCAAGTGGCATAAACCAATTAGCTATTTTAAGCTTGAGTAACAAAACTTGCTCTGTTGTTTCTTGCCTGGCTCTGGGGGTGAGAGAAGGCTGGTTGGGGTTTCAGCTTGTGTGTGAAAATTCCTAGATTAAGGCCCAAAGGGACCCTTATGCTCATGCAGTCTGACTTCTGTGTTACACAGACCCGAGCATGTTGCCTGGCTCAAAGCCCATAACTTCTGGATGAGCTTGTGTATGGGGTGCAGCAGATCCCTGGTTGGGTCACTTTTCCAGCTAGCAGCACGGGCTCCTTGGTGCTGTCTGCTACTTCCTCCTTCACGCCCCCCCTAGCCCTTCCTGGTGTGCACCCAAACTTGGATCACTCAGTCTCTGCCCAAAGCTCTGGTGCTCATAGTTGGCTGCAGCCATAAAAGCAGCATTTCTGCCCAACTTTGGTCTGTCGGTCTGCAAGCAGGATGGGAGAGGGGGTGGAAAGCTGAGGGAATCCCTTTCTCAGCTGCTAGTGCATGAGATGAGTGAGCCTGTCTGGGCGTTTGGGGATACCCATACAGAGATCTGGGAGGTGCGTGGCCTAGGTAACCCCTCGTGTAGGCTCGGTTCCATGCTGGCAGCAGATGAACTCTTTTAGCTGATTGCCACCTGAGTGTGGTTGTAGAACCAGGGCCAGAGCTTGGTACAGCCATGAGATGTGTGGAGGCCACTGTGACTAGGCCTTAATCCAGACCTGTAGCAAAGACCCTTATTTGTGCTGTGCATCTCCTGGTACTGCTTTGAAGAACAACAAGGAGTGCCCTAGGGCTAGTGCATTAGTCTGCAGCCTACAGACCTGCATTCAGTTCCCTATTCCAGCACACACTTCCTATGTGGCCTTGGGCAAGCGAGGCAGCTGCTCTGTGCCTGTTTCTCCATCTGTACTACCCCTTCAGAACCACCCCTTCAGAGTTACTTATCTTCAATCCACCCTGGACTGCTCAAGTGTTCAGTGAGACTAAGTGCCAGAGCTAGAGAGATAGTAGCGGAGTCCGCTAGTGATATCTCTAGTGGTCATAAAATATTTGCAGAGTCTCATGCCCTCCTCTGGCAGGGACATAACAGTTCAGTTTATTCATTGGGAATAATTAGCTAAAGTTTGAAGTGTCAAGAAGGTGCCCTCTGGCCCCACAGAGGGCAGAGAATTTTTTGGGGGTGCCTTACACTGATCTTTCCCTCTGTCTGATTAGCTTTCCCCTCTGCATTGGAGTAAAAGCAAAAAGTTGGAGTGGCAACATTTTTTTTTTTATACCTGTCAGAATCCCCCAGAGCTCAGGCAGAGTCTCTCTATAAAGTCAGTCCATGCTACAGAAACCACATCCTCCAAATCTCTTCTTAGGCAAGGCCTGTGAGGTCTTTGCCATCATCTTTCTAGGCATAGGAATGTAAGAAGAGCAGTGACATTAATACATTTGACTAGTTCCTGTTGGTGAAAGAGACCAGTTTTAGAGCTTATGCAGTGCATAGGATGCATTCCCAAAACAGCTACGTGGGTCTCAAAAGCTTGTCTCTTTCACCACTGGAAGCTGGTCCAATACAAGATGTGGCTTCACCAACTTGTAGCTCATCCTGGGTCCAATATGGCTACAACAGTCAGTGTAACATCATTCTGCTGGGATAGGCTAGACTAGATAGGCCTAATGCACTATGAGCAAGAGGTGCTGCTCCAGTTGGCCAGGCCGACTAGTTAACCGGTTATCTGGTAAGCATGCTGTTAAGACTAATACTTACCAGGTAACCAGTTAAACTTGTACATTCCTGTTAGGACTGAACATCAGGCCTAGCCTATTCCCAGCACTGGTATTTTTTTTGCAGGTGATTCCAGGCCTCTGCAGATGACTGGTGGCGAAGCCCAAAGAAATCCCCACTTTCCAAACTTCTCTCCCTCCCCCCCTCCCCCTCCCAGATCCAGCCCAGAGCCTTGTGCCTTTCTAAAGTCCCGGCCTCCTACCTCAAACCCTACCAAGGCCTTAGCTGATTTACCAGTGCAGTGGTTT